TCGAGCATATCATTTCTTTTTCAGTTAAATTTCATTGATTATACAGTGCCAAGTATGCCACTGAAAAATAAATGAGTATTCACTGATTCAGATTTAAAAACATTTTCTTGATATAAAAGTTTTGTAATCTGTATTTACGAGATTGGAGACTAGAGACTATAGTAGATTACACACGAAAAAATAACGTCGAATTCTTTTGAATTAGATTTAGACGTCTAATTAAAACACTATCGTTTTACGAAAATTTATATGTACATATGGATACGTGGACATTGATGTAGTAATATGTAAAGGATGTGTCGCATTTTCTCAATAAAACAATGATTCCATTAGAATTTGGACTTTATTTTAGCATTTCCTTAAGCGATTATCGATATTCGTCGGATATTATAACAAATTATAATACGCGAAATATTATTCAACATTCTATAATTATATTTAATTATTACTGTAACTTGAAGTTGGTTAAATTTTAATGCTACATTTGCAGAATTATGTTAATACAGCGTATGCCTTGTACAACAGTATGCTTCCTATAAAATTTTACCTTGAAAGAAGCAGCGCTCGCAGTTTTTGCGCGGAGACAACAGTAGCACGAAAGCCCCGTATTTTACAATGCTGGCGGTCATATAAATTGCCATATAATTATGCACTGTGCGCGGATCCTCTGGTTCAGGAAATATAATTACGGCAGAAATGAGTCACGTGGAAATTTCTGTGATATACGTGCATAATTACCAGGTCTATAAGTCGTCTGAGAAGGACGACTTCGTGATAGATTTACCAAGTTCCGGCATTAAGTCGAGATAATGGCTTCCTATACGTCGGATTGTAAAAGTAAAATGTGAGAATATCCCTTTCCGTGAATAATACATTTGCGTATATCGCTAAAATTGCGTTTCCGAAAGGGAGCAAAGAATAACGAGAGGTCCCACAAATCGACCATGCAGGTTTAAGTAATTTGGATTATTACTAGAAATTTTTTATGAATTTTCCCTCTGAACAAATTCTTCTCTCTTGCGTTAAAGCAAATTGTTTTTATAACGCTGATTGAAAATTAAATTTTATTGTTAGTCAAGTTACAATTCTTGAAAAATTATAAGTATATTATAATATATTTTGTACTATAATATATTAATATAATTTAAATAATATAA